TGAGCACCTCCCAGACTCCCTGTGCTTGTCCAGCCTAACAGGCAGGGGCCCATGGGGGCCAAGAAAGCACCACCCACTCCTAAAGTTCTTTGAAAAATAATCCCACCAAAGCCTGGGCTACTAAGAAGGGCCTCCCCTCCTGTGCCTGGATGCTGGTTTCTGGAAGGAAAACAATGGAACAGGAGCCACCAGAAAACCCTCCTGGTGAATGGGGGTGTCCAGAGCAAGGACGGGGTTTGGGAAGCCCGGGTCGGCTCCTGGATTTGCCCACTGCCCTTCCACCAAGTTTATGGGGAAAATCTCCCCGGACGCACCTGCAGCCAGACAGCCCTGAAGCCCAAGCAGAAGGCAGAGGAGCCCGAGGGCTTGGGAGACCATGATGAAATCTCTGCAGCGCTGCCTCTGCCTGTTGACATTCCCCATGGGACTGGCGGGCAAAGTTCTCTGCCTCCAAGGGCGACAGAGGGATGGGGGAGGCGGGGACAGAGGCGTCCTCTGAACACCCCAGCTGAGAGCTGCACCTGGCCGGCCAGTGGCCATGCATCCCCTGCTGCCCAGCTGCTGAGCTCAAGCAGGGAGGACAGGAGAAAGGTCAGGCGGCCCCAGCTGTGCTGCAGAGCGGATGGTTTTGTTGCCAGCGTGCAGGTGTTAAGGTGTGTGTGTGACACCAACACTTCAAATACGATCTAGAATTCCAAACCCCTAGGACATAGGAACGTAGGTTGGGAAACAGATTTAAACTGCAGATGAAAACTTGGCCCATAGCAATAATGCGAGTCAATTCTTGAGAGCATATCTTGGGTGTGGATGTAAATATTTGAAGAGAGCCTCCAGGAGACCAGGCCAGCTAGGCCATTGCCTGCAAGGGAGGCTGGTTTCTTAGTTGAGCCACAGAGCCTGACTGAGAAGTGCTGGGAATAGGATCATTCTGGCCCTGAGCTGGGCAGCCCCACTCTGTTTTGACTGCAGGCAGCACCCCCATTCTCCAGCAGTCCACGTCTTACGTCTTTTGTTTGTTTTTGTTGTTGTTTTGAGACGGAGTCTTGCTCTGTTGCCAGGCTGGAGAGTGCACTGGTGCAATCTCACTGCAACCTCCACCTCCCGGGTTCAAGAGATTCTTGTGCCTCAGCCTCCCGAGTAGCTGGGACCACAGGTGCACGCCACCATACCTGGCTAATTTATATATCAGCTATCCCTGACTGTGGTGCTGGGCACACGGGAGCTGTCTGGGGAGTGTGCGAGTCAGATGTGTGCGACATCAGAATCTCCTGGGTGGTGGCTCGTGCCTGTAATCCCAGTACTTTGGGAGGCTGAGGACTGAGGATCGCGTGAGGAAAGAGTTCCAGACCAACCTGGGCAACATAGCAAGACCAAACCTAGACAAAAAATTAAAAAATTAGCCGGACTTGGTGGTCAGTGCCTGTGGTCCCAGCTACTCAGGAGACACAGAACCCGAGAGGCGGAGGTTGCAATGAGCTGAGATTGTGCCACTGCACTCAAGCCTGGGCGACAGAGGGAGACCCCGACTCCCTCCCTACCAAAGAATCTCCGTGCTCACACTTGTACATGAGCACCACACTCACGCAACCCAAACTCACGCCATACACATGCCACACTCACACAACCCAAACTCACACCATACACACGCCACACTCACACAACCCAAACTCA